GAGGCTGTTTCTTGGGGGGTTTGCTTGCAAAGGGTGCGAGTCAGTACACGTAGGGCATATGCATTAATCATTAGGTGCACACACACACACACATCTTCATGTACTATGTGTATATATGTCTGTATGTGTCACAGTCAGTGTCAGTCAGTGTGTGTGTGTGTGTGCGTGTGGATCGATGTGTATATTGCACACGTGCAAATCCGTACAATCCTCATCAGCGTTGCCTTCAGGCACTTGGGATCGGCATTGAACTAGCACTGGCAAAGCTCCGTGTTTCGTGGTGCTCTTCCAAACAAACCGTCGCATCATCTCCAAGATGTAGCATGGGAGCTTAGTGGGAAGCAACCCAGGGCCGCCATCGCGATCGGCTCCGAAAGCCTGCTCATCTACGTGAGGCCTGATGGGTCCTTCCGGCTGAAAAGGGTTATAGGCCCAATAGGCTCGGGTTTCTGGGCCAAGAGCTGAAAAGCGTGAAACAACGGGGACATGATGAGGCTCTTGTTCGTTACAAATGAAGCAGTCTTCCGACAAGCCAGAAAGGCAGCGAGGTGCCAGTGTCGCAGCAAGTTGTCTTTGCCTTTCCCTTTCTCATCCCTAAACCTCAGCATTGTGCGTACCCTAGTGTACCCACCTAAACCCAAACGCCTTGCCTTCTGATGCCTATCAGGCGTAGCAGCTGTGCTTCCGGCTGGGAGGCTGCGTTGCAGCGCTGGGTCCTCAGGTGAACCTCTACACCCTACAGCAGGAGGCGTGTCCCCGGCCCTATAGTGCGGTGACAGCCAAAGAAAAGACTGCCAGAGCCGCTATCTGCACCCTCCATCCCACCCTAATTAAGAAAACCCCTAAGGCAAAGCTCTACTCCAAAAGGGTCGAATCCCCGAGCCTTCTGAGATACTCGCAAGTCTCCCACGAAAGCCTGCAGCCTTTCTTGAGTGTAGCAGAATCCCTGCATTCTGTCCCCTATACAGCCTATACAATATACTCCCAAGGCTTTTCATGTGATCTTTAACCTTCACCTCTCGTTGAGTTCTCAAGTAGGCAAACTGAGTGAGAGGCCTGACATTGAGTGGAGGCCGGCCCCAGGCAGGGACCTCCAACCGTTTCAGGGTTAGAGGAGCTTAAGCAGCTTCTATTCTAGAGTTAGACTTGACTCAGTCATTTTCCTCCTTTTTCGAGACTAAATAGGGTTTAGGGCCCATGAAGGGTTTGAAGTTGGAAGCTGCATCCCGAGCCCTTGATGCGTTCAGAGTCCCTGAACCCTAAGCCGAGGTGGGGCTTGGGGTTTGCAAGGTTGGAGCGTTTCGTTTATTTCGGGAGGGTGGGGAGAAAACCAACGTTCTGCTAACATGTCACACACCCCATCTGAATCTCTGTCGCTAAACTGACCTAGGATTGGGGACTTGTGGGGATGTTGATATGTCTCTGCCATCAATCAGCCATGGAGGCCTGCTTGGACAATTTTTGTTGAGTGCACCTCAGGGTTCCTCGGGCGCGCGCTGCGAGCTCTACACAACCGTTTGCCCACGACGCTTCCGAGACAGCTGGATAAGACTGCGCCATCACCACCATCACTACTACCACTTCTATACTATCATTGCAGACCATTCCTATATCATTACGACCACTAGTGCTATTATCACAACTGTTGCTACCAGTACATCACTCCATTAACCACTTCTCTCCGACGACGTCTACTTCCGCCACTTCCAGGCCGGATCGGTGGCAACCCAAGCCTTGCATGAGGAGTCCGGCCAGGGAGCCCAGCGTTCTTGGCGTTGGGGGGGTTTAGCCGTCTAATCTACCGCATCTGAAGTCATTACGCGCTCGAATGTTGGACCCGCTTTAGTATTGGCCCCCTCTTTAAAGACAATTTGGCTAACCCTGACTGTTTGGGAGTCCATCTTTAAAGACAAACCGCTCCCGAAAGCCGGATTTTTGTTTTAAGGATTTGGGGCTTGTTTCGGCCCGGAGGCTCCGGCTTAAAGCCGGGCCTTATGATTTTAAAGCCGGACCTTGCGATTTTAAGGCCGACCTCATCCATTCCAACCGGCCTGAAACCATTCATTCCCTTTAAAAAACCATTTGAAAAATGGTTTCGTTCAATCCGACAAGGGACCCCCTTCGGCCCCGAATAATGGCACTGATTCGGGACCCTGTTTTATGTCAAGGCCCCGGCCCGGGGCTGGATCCCATTTAAATTCATATAAAGTCATCTCGGACACCTTTTCGATTCGCGCGGCTCCCCTTTTAAATTCATATAAGCTCGTCCCTTTTAAATTCATATGGATCCCTTTTAAATCTATCTAAACTCCTCCCTATTAAAATCATATAAAATCCCGGGGCCCATTATTGAGGCCAAAATCCAGCCTCGACTGTTCAGGCGGGGCGGGGGGCCCCCCACACTAAAGAGGGTCCAACATTATTCTGCATAAGATCGCCTTTGCCACTGTTCAGCATCCGTGTGCCATATGTCACCATCCAGAGCCTTTTGGCTGCTGCACATGTTAAGCTGCCAAGTGTGTCACAAGTGTTTTTCTTTGCTGCTGCCGGCAAGACCTTTGCGGCCGAGGCCTAAGCACGGCCTTTGCTGGCGCCTGGCTCCCGGGTGTGAGACGTGCGGTCGTGGTTCTGGGCCGCCAGGCCGGGGGATGGGGGGATGACCTGGCGATGAGGGTGTTGGGGTACTGTAGTTGAGGCTCTACAGTCTGCACATCTGGAAGGAAGAAATCGAGTCATCCGCGCTTCTGTTTTTGTGGCAGCAGCGCTTTGGACGTGAGGTAAATGAGGTAAAAGGGGGTTGTTTACGACAGCCCATGCGTTGCGCTTCGCTCGAATGCACCATTTTGTTTGCCTTCAGAGATCCAGAGAGTACATCTGTCCCTTGCGCAGGCACATGCTGCGACTCGAGGCTGCAGTACGTTCGGAAAGCAGGAGCATTGCCATTTAGAGCATGTTTGACCGTGCGCGTAAGCTTGCATGGTGCACGATGTATATCTTACGCCGTACGCGTGGTGAGGCACCCTTCTGGCAACCGCATGAGGCATGAGTCCACGTTTCTAAGGACGGTGGGTTCATCTGTTCAGCTATCCACTGCTTCCGCCCTGACCTCCACGGAAGTGCTGGTGCTCTCCATCAGTGCTGCTGGTTCGGACAAGGCTCTCCTTTGTCCCACTTGTGACTCGTGTTGAGAAGTCCGGAAGTCTCTCGATAATGGCATTCAGAGGTCAGCATGGACAACGTATGTGCAAAAGCATATCATGACAACAAAATGAGGCAGCCGCTTGAAGGCTGCAGCTCTCCTAGTTTGTCATCCCAGACCGAACAGGAGGCTTTACCTCTAAGCCCCCCCAAGCCTAAGCTGTAGAACTCTCGGCCTACAGAGGCGCTGATGGTTTACTCTGACCGTGGTTGCGTTCGGCATCGACTGGCTACAGTTGCGGCGGGCTCGTTGACCTGGCACGTAGAGGAGAGCAATTGGTGGTGGGGCCCTTTGTCGGTGTCTGCAGGTTTCATTGTCGGACGGTAGATCATGCAGCTTCTGCTGTGTTTGCCTTAGTTAACAATGTTTCATCCTTAATATCTATTCCGAATTCCACATCTTTGATTGCATTTGTATTTAAATTTTGATATACATGCTACATGTACTTGAAGAAAATGTATTTACACTAACGAAAATTGGTTACGGTTACATGTTATCGAGCACATATTTTCTCCTAGTGTATTGGTGGAATATAAACGAAACACATGTCGTAGTTAATAATAATGCTAATATTCTGTTGCTGAGAACATTTTTAAAGAATTTGGTGGAACGCCTACAATTATGAATGTTAATTGTCATAGTACTAAGTGCCCAAATGCTGTAAATGGTTTTTGTGTTAAAGGTAAATAGTAGATGAGGATGGCCGTCATCTTGCTTGGCACCTTCCTGTGAAAATGACGACAACCCGCCACAGGTTTCACGTCAAACTGTGGACGACAGAACGATCCCTCGCATTTGGTTAATTGTTCAAACGATGAAGCAGTGTTCCTTGTGCCGAAAATTTGAAGAGTACTCGGTTCGGCGTGGTGGCGAAAGGATTTACGCGAACAAAAGTGTGGTTCGCCAAGGATACCGGCTTTTTGAAAGGGCTGGAAAATGCAAGGAAAAGACTCAAAATCTTCGGAAGTTGCGAAGATGAAGGTGGAAAAATGTCCTCAAGGTATTTTTCGGCACGCAGGATGACAAAGGCCGAGAGTACGAAGTTTACAACTCCAAGGGGCACATCCTGCTGTGTTACTTACTTCGTGGACTGATGACTGCAAATGACCGGCATAGGTGTAGAGGGTGTAGGGCGTTTGTGGTTTGGAATTAAATTTCGTTTTTAGGGCTTCGAGCAAATGGCTTGGGGCTTAGGGCCTTGATCTTGGAATCAAGATTGTTATTGTAAGGCAGCTTGGCTTAAGCCGGCGCTCAAGCGGGAAACCGCGCACATCGATGGGCTGGGCTGCTTCATGAAAAGAGTTTGGTGTAGATGCTTACCCCTGTGAGAGGGACGCCCCAGTTCATAACACCGCACATATGATGTAACACCCCACCCTGGACCCTGAAATCGTCTTGGCCCTAAACTTGCCAGAAGACCCGAGTGCCCGAGTGCAGTGAACAGGAGCAGCTCATGGACAACCGCCACGCAGCTGCAGTTCACTTCCCCGGGTTCAGGTGTTTAGGGCAGGATGACACTTGGGATGTGTTTTTGTTACGTGGAAAATTGTTGGCACTGGCTTCAGTGGAGTTTGGGCGTTCATTGTGCAGAGTAGTGGAAGGTTGACATCATCAGGTCCCGTCATCCCCAAAGCCTCCGCCAGATCTGGAACACGTGACCAGAGTGGCCTACATGCTGTTTAGGGTTTAGGGTTTAGGGTTTGGGGTTTAGGGTTTTCTCCCGACCCCTGAACTACCCGACTCAAGGGAGATGGCTCCATCCCTTACAACCCTAAACGCTCACGTGATCCTCGTGTTTCTAATGGCGATCCTTGTGGTTGTGATGCTTTTGGCCATGGCGGAGAACACGAAAGCAGTGGTCTCCGTGGGTGTTTTGGTTTCATGTTCCTGGCAGCCTGATGCAAGCCTCGCTCCAAAGATGGCGCGAACCAGAAAAAACCCTAAACCCTATAACTCTGAACCCTAAACCCTAAACCCCAAGCCCTAAGCCCTAAACCCTAAACCCTAAACCCTAAACCTTATAACTCTGAACCCTAAACTCTAAACCCTAAGCCCTAAGCCCTAAACCCTAAACCCTAAACCCTAAACTCTAAACCCTAAACCCAACAACCCTGAACCTTATCACCAACTTGGAGCCCAGGAACCGGGACACCTTCCTGCTTGGCAGGGACATCCGTGGCTCAGCTTCCACTCAGGCTCTTGAGAGACATGCCCAGATACTCGTATACGTGTGTCACACACACGTGCCATCCCTAAACCCTAAACCCTAAACCCTATTTGCAATATATTTTCACAGACCTTTCTTTGGCCACGACCACCCTGTGGGCTCATTCGACCCGTGAGTGCGACCACACCGTACTTGGAGGTTCATGGTACTTCTTAGCCAATCAGAACTGCACTTATAGCCCACGTATAAGCCCCTTAAGTGCCCTAATATGCTTATTTATAAGCACAGTTATATGTACTGCAATAAGTACAGTGATAATTGGTTATAACAAGTGCCATGAACCTCTAAGTACCACCTAAAACCGTGTATTAATTTTAAAATATTATGTAATAATAACAAATGTAAAAAATATATTAACAGAATTGAATATAATAAACATATAAATGAATTATGTAAATACAAAATTGTAATATGTCCATTTGCAATATATGGTTGTGATATTAAAGGATTAATTGATGATAATGACGATAAAAGAAAATTAGAATTAAATAATAATAATGACGATAAAAGACAATAAGGTGGCCTTGGTCCCCCTGGGTTCGAAGCAGCTGCTGGCCGTGGCCGCTGGGGCGTGCCTGCTGTGCGTAGGAGAGGCCCCTTACTTGCGCAGTTGCGGAGTTTGGGGGTTGGGGTTTGGGGTTTGGGGTTTGTGGTTTGGGGTTTAGAGTTTAGGGTGTCGGTCTTGGTGTGTTCTTGTAAGGGAGTTGTTGCGCAGATTTGGACGACACCGTGACCGCCGTGCTCACGTAGGTTCCAGGGCAATGGGATGGAATGAGGTGATTTGTGATTGGCATTGCCTCGTCGCGGTGTGTGGATGGGGCTTGGTGCTTAGAGAGACGGGTGTCCCACGGTCGTGGCGGCATCGGCAGGTGGAGGCGAATGGCATGCGCGGATCTCAGACACTCAGAGCTGTAGGCGGTCTATATGTATATATATATATACACATACAATATATTCATATATGTCTGTATACAGTACATATGTACATATATATACATATGTCTTTAAGCATAAGCCTCCCGATGAAGTTGCGAAACGTAGATGTGTTAAGGCTCGTGGGTAGGGGTGTCCTGCGTTCGTTGAGATGTTTGAGCCCCCGGCTCCAGCCGCCGACCCCGCAGGAGAAACGGTTCAGGCGGTTCAGGGTTCAGTGTTGACACGGCGGGAATTGACTTGGCGGTTTTTTGAGGTTCATGAAGCACTAGGAAACAGTGTTGGCAGGGTCGTCGGCTCTTGTTTGTTTATCGGTTTCTCCAAGCGGCTCTTAAAGGGATTTACCTAAGGGTTTAGGGTTTGAAGAAAAGGTGCTTGCAAAAGGTCGCAAGGGTTGTCTTTAGAATCCAGAGGGCAGAAAAATCCAGGGAGTCCAGGGTCGATCAAGGCCCTCCCCCAAAGGCTCGCACCAACCTTGAGGCTTTTCGAGGTCCGTGGGGAGTTTTTCGGTTCTTTCAAGGTTGCAAGAGGTTTGAGGGGTTTTCGGGTGTCCCAAGCGCACCAGCCAAAGCTTTGGAGTCTTTGCAAAAGGCGCTCTCGCCAAGGTACAAGGGGTCCCATGCAGTCCTCAGAAGGGGGAGGGGAAAGCCTCCAAGTGCCCGAGAACCAACGCTTTTCTCACTTCGCCCCAAGCATGCTCCACCCGCCCCCCGAGCTTTTGAAAACCGCTCAAACCCATCCAACACGAACGCAGCGCCGGGGTCGGCGGATTCACCGCGATCCTCAAAAACCGAAACCCCCAACCCACAACACCCGACACACCCCAAATGCATCGTGTGGTGTGTGGTGGAGCCGAACCCAAAACACCAGGCACCCCAACCCTATTTCTAATGCTCATTGAACCGACGCCAGAGCCATTTGCACATCGAAGCTCCACATCTTGACTGTTCCCTGGTTTCCCTACACAAAGCCCTGCCTGCCTAAAATCTATGACGTGCACAACACACAATATTCCATACATAATATAAATATGCACACACGCTATAAACAATGCAGGTAGCATGAACAAATGCAGTATTTATTCATCCACTGAAGCCTCGAAGCCAGAAGGCGCTGGAGCAAGCTGTGGGACTTCCTGGAGCCTTCCAGCACGGGTGGCGAGGAGGCCAAACGGGAAGACCCTGAATATCCCTAGCCCTACGAGGCCTTGGAGCCCTTAAGCCCCAAAAGCAACCGACGGGAGTCCAAAAGCCCCCACAATCTCGGTGGTGTGGGTTCCAAGCATTGAGGCGTGCAGCGCCGCTTTGGGCTTTGGATTGCGAGCTTTTCCTAGCAAGCCCGTGTGCCGGCTTCCGGAGAAGTGAATCGGCAAAGGTTTTTGCTACATGCTGTGGATCACACCGACGCCTACCCTAAACGGTCTAACCCATGAGAGTTAAATTCTAAACCAACCCTACACAGGGGCGCGGTGCTTACGCACAAGGCTTGGGGTGTGAACTCCCAAGGAGCTGCAAGGTCAAGGCTTTATGGGTTTTACGGGAGTTTAATCAGGTTGGCCTTAAATCATGTCTACTTGCTGGGTGCTGAAGTGGGAGTGGGCGGCGGGGGAAGATGTGTATGGTAGACATGGGGCTCTGCGCTCACTCCCCAAGAGGTTAGTAAGCATAGGATTTAGAGAAGCCTCACAGACCCCAGCCCTCAAAGCCTCGCGAGGTTTGGTCTGTCCAGGGAGCACAATGGGACGAAGAAGGCAGGCGGCCGGGAGACACTTACCCTTGACTGCTTTGAGGTTGAAACCTCGGTTTTATGTTTTTTAACTTCCGCTTTTAATATAGGTCTAAGACTGCACAGCAATGCACAAAGACGGCTCAAAAGAGCAGCAAAGAGTGCTAAAGGCTTAACACACCTCCACCCTCAACGAAGAACCGTAGAACCCCCCAGCCCCACCTCAGAAAGCCTCTGTTGATCTCTGCTGGCTCCCTAGACCCGCAGGAAGCGCTGGTCCCCTAAGCCCCCCACACCCTCAACTCTTCACCCTCTTACATCCTCAAACCAAGCAAGCCTAAAATTCCTTAACCCTCAGTGGCGGTCTTCGCGGTGGAGCTGGTGGGAACCCTCCACCTCCGCTGGGCAGACTCTTCTGGGCCGCGGTCGACCTCGCAGGAGGCAATTTAAGAAGGGCTTGGACACGCCGTGGGGTATTTCAGGTTTGGGGTTCAGGGTTTTAGGTGACGACAGCTAGCTGCGCGGAGCTTTCGGGAGTTTTGTGTAACCTTTTGTCTTGCGGCAAAAGCGGAAGGTGGGGTGGTGGAGGAGGGGGAGGTGGTTGAAAAGCGGGTGGGGTGGGTGGGTGGGTGGGGGGAATGGGGGAATCATTCATTAATCAGGAGGCATGACCCTAGGTCATCTTCGTATTTGGCTTCAACATAGGGGATACTGCGACAAAGCTTCAACGAGAACTGCAAACACCAACCCAAACCCTACAAAGCCTAAGTCCTCCGCAGATGTCCTCAGCACTTGACTCGGTATTCCAGAGTACTAGCTTACTGGCTTTCGTCCGCCCTGCTCTCAAATATTGCACGTGTACACAAAACATCACCAAACTGCAGATAATATGTATCTGATCCATGATGCATTTCATTTTGCTGTCATGATTTTCCTCGAATAAGTGGCGCGCTACGGCACGTGCGTGAAAAATCCCTTAAGATCGAACACCCTCACACTTCAAACCAAAGATATACTTTTTCAGGTAGCCATCTCAGCTGTTTTGTGTTTGCTGCTTGAATTGTTATTTTGCTTTTTACTACTATTTGATTTGTTTCTTTGTGACTATTTTTGTCTCGGTGTGGAACGTTATCATGTACTAATCTGGCGTGCCTTTTCACGAACCACTGCCTCCAAAACCCAGGCACCTAGTACATCCTCCGGCGCGTCGGTTGCTTTGGCGGTGGTGGGTCTACGCCAGGCAAGAACCTGTACCTGAGTGCTGGGGCTCGGGGTGTAGATGATTCTGCGATAAACATCCACAACAAGCAATTACTCTCCCTCCGAAGCTTTAAAACTTTTCGCCTGAAGTTAGTCGAGGGTGCGGGGTTTGGCAAGGCTATGCAAGGGTCAAAGGGTCACGTAGGTTTGTAGCCATGACTTTGAGATCTTCGCCCAGTCCATGTTTCAGCCTTGAAGAGTAATGCAGGTTTGCTGAGTTTCGCTAGCCATAATAAATCCTAGGCCCTCAGCCCTAAACTTACACGTTCTTCATCGAGAATAGTAGGTGCCCTATAGACAACCCCTTAAAGGGCTACTTACTTCGTTCCCTGGTTACCTTTTTAAGAACTATAGTAATTACTTAAGTGAACCCAGCATTACAAGCCTTCGGCCAGGTTGCACTGGCATATGGAGCCCTCACGCCATTTGGTGCCAGCTGCTCGTCAAGCAAAAGTGCTGGGACTGTCCAGCACCTCACTTACGGCCTTAAAGCATCCCTTATCAGGGTCGGAGTTACGGGCGATATCGCCACTAGTAGAGCACGTGGCATGCTTTCCTTATTGTGGCATGGCTGAACTCAAATTCCTTAACAGCACCCAGCCCCAGTTATGGAGAACACAGCCTTCGCGAAAAAGTTGAGCCGGGGATGGCTCATGCCCAACAATCCGGGGATTAGGGCTTAGGGCTTAGGGTTTAGGGTTTATGGTTTAGGGTTTTGGCGGCTAGTTTTTGAGGGGTTGCGCCGTTTGAGGTCCGAGGCTTGCTTGCCATGTGCTGCGTTAAGACGTCTTTGGTTGGGAGCGGGGCGCTTTGCAAGCAGCTCGAAGCACGGGATGATTGTGAAGGAGCTTAGGCGAAGTTGCCACAAGAAGGATACTCGAGTATCTACCGAACAACCCCACCAGGGTAACTTGAATCTTCAGACCCCCTTTTTGTATCTCCACGCAGTACATGAGTGCAAAGCGCCATGTTCATGGATTGTAGATGCACGCATTGAGGTCTGTGTTACTGTAAGACCAGGTTCTGGAGTGTACTTCTGTACCCTGTTCCTTTCGCGGATGAGGTGACGGCACTCTATGGACTCTGCCCCGAAAGCAGTGCAGACTGCCAGAAGCGTAGCCTGGCGGTGACTTTCAAGTTTGGGAATGGAGATTCGTTGAGGGTTCGGGGATGTTTTGGTTTGTTGGGCACGGCATCTGGGTCCCCAAGCGCCAAACCCTGAACGCTCAATCGACTCCCGCTGCGGTTTCTGCCGCATCATTGCTCCGGCTTGGCTTTAGCAGCACATGCGCCCGCGGAACGTTGAGGAATCTTCAAGAGATACCTTGATCATATACTCTCTAAGCAGGGTAGTTGTCAGTACCCGCTACAGAAGGGAGACTTGCCTCGTGAAAGGGTGTATTGGGCTACTCAACGATTACTCTGGGTAGGGTTTGAGGTCACGGGGCTTCAAACCTCCGACTTCAAAACCTCAACGGCATACCAAGAGCCCTCTTCTGGGAAGAAGCCCCATCACCTAAAGGCCTTTAAGTTCTCATCGTTCTGCTGAAAGAGCAGCATCTCTATGAACATGGTCCAGTGGGTTTCAAGGGCCAAGAGCATTTTGATTGGCTCCAGTGTCGAAGGTCGCTGGGTCTCGTCGCCTACGACGCCGCTTGGCGCACACTGGGAGCACGGCATGACGAGGATTTTCAGGAGCAAGAGCTCGTTCTGAATGAGGAGAACGGCCTAAGCATGTTTTGCAATAAGAGCCCTTTCTTATGAAAAGGACCTCTGAGAGGGATAAGTTTGGGCCGCAGAAGCTCTCTTAAACGTTCACCGAGCCGTTTCTCATGCCTGAAGGTGAGTGGCTGCGCTGCAAATGCTGACGCCGACGGAGACTTTGCCTGTCATTCTGGAGGTTATGGGCCCGAAAGCCGAAAGCCTACACCTCCAAGGCGTCACGCCTTTGCCTTGAATATGTAATTACTCCGCTTCTGCTGGGTTTGAAGACTGGAGTTTACATGATTTCAGGGTTAGGTTGAGGGTGTAATGGCCTAGGGCTTTGGCTTTGTGGATAAGAAAAGAACATGTTCTCGTGCAGCGGCGGCTCAGCCGCAATGCAGCACCCTCTGTAGCCAAGGGCCTTGCTCCGAAAAAAGCATTTCGGCAGTGCGTCGCCCCCATCGAAAAAAAGTCCTGAGCCCAAGGTCTATAAAGGAGAAGGGAGTAGCACGGAGCATGGGCAGATTTTTGAAAGGATGAAGGTTTAGCCTTGGCCTTAACTTTAGTAACATCATCTTCGGCGTTAGCCTCAGCTTCATCCTTAGAGAGATGAGAAACGGTTCAAAGGGATTCTAAACGCAGCAAGGCATCTCGCGAGGATTCCGGCAGCTTAGAGGGAATTACAGGCTGCCTCGGCCCCCGCGACAGGAGAAATGACAGAGGTTCCCAAAACACTACTCTGCATGGCAGAGCATACTTCAGAAGAGACCACAACAAGTAAAAGGACTTACACACCTCCAATTCATGCTTCAAGCTGTTACATTTATCTGCCCGAACCCTAAACCCCAAACCCCAAACCCTCAACTCCCCTCCCCTCCTCTCCCCCCTAGACTTAGAGGCGGTTTGAGGGTTCCCGGGTCGCCAAAGGCCTTGTCTTCGAAGACGAGTGCCTCGTCCGCTGTGCGGATTCCCGGAAGCCCTTTGCAGCCAGGTGCCTGTCAGGGCGCCCAGAGAGCCCAATACTCCTTGATTAAGGAATATACCTTAAATTATAAAGGTATCCTTAATATGATGTAAGGAATATTCCTTGATTAAGGGGTATTGGGCTCTTTGGGGACTGAGACTCTTCGGAACTTGTAACTTTAGTAGGGCAAGTTGCAGGGCGTCCCTCGCATGAGCGGATCATTGGGGGTGCCCGGTTCCTCCCCGCCCCAATGCTGCTGACATTCCTCACTGGCTTGTGGAGGGAGAAAGCTGCTTGCAGTTTTCATATATTTCGCCCATGGAAGTCCTTCGGAAGTGGTGTCCCCGTTTTCCATGAAGGTGGCAAGAGCCCTATACCTTAGGGATTCTTGGGAAATATTCTTAATTTTTTGGGTACTGTAATTCCTAAGAAACAGCTAAGATCATGATGCTTGCCATGGTTCCAAGTTCAGAATAGATACTTCTCCCCAGAGCGGCCGGTATGGCAGTGAGCCGACAGGAGCTTCTGCCGTCTGCAGGGCGGCCTCTTCGAACTCCTGGGCTGCGCTGCGCTCTGCAGCTTTGTGGTGTTTGGCGGGAAGGGGCAGGGTTTAGGGTTGAGGGTTTAGTGTTTAGGGTTTGGGTTTAGGGCTTAGGGATTGTAAATTAGGTTAAGGGTTAAGGGTTTAGGGTTTAGGGTTTAGGGTAACTAGAGAAGTTGGGGAGTGGGGGTTTTGGGTTGTCTTAGTAAAGTCGGCTCCCACAACTGAAGCCCCAGGCCCAAAGGCCCTTAACCGCAAGAACCACACTGTAGTTGCAGACATGGTTAAAGAGCCCATGCCCCCCTAAACCCTAAACCCTAAACCCTAAACCCTAAACCCTAAACCCTAAACCCTATTACCCCCGAAGGTCAAGCTCCCCAAGTGCCCGGGGCCTTGACGCCGGGCTGCCGTGAGGGCCAGCGCGCCGCGGCAGGGAGCTGATGATTTCTGATGCGTTAAGTGCCTGACTCTTGGGTTAATGAAGGCGGCAGGGCTTACAAGGATTTGAGGGTCAGCTATATATATATATATATATGTTTGTGTATGTATGTATGTATGTATGTATGTATGTATGTATGTATGTATGTATGTATGTATGTATGTATGTATGTATGTATGTATAATATGTTACATATACATAGATTTTGTCTAAACTACGTACATGCGTCTGTAGATATGTACGTGTATGTTAGTGTATATGCAGGCATGCGGTTTAAGGCTCTCCTTTTTTACAAGTGGTGTTGTATAATCGCCCCGCGGCTTGCGGTTTAGAAAGGAGTGCGCCCGAGTATCGTTTAGCTGGTAGAACGATAAGGAGTAAACCAAAAAACGATAACTTTCTGCAGGGTTTTTGTTGTGTGGCCCCTTACACGCCTAACACCCCTTATACCCCTCACACCCCTCATTCTCTAGGTCAAAAACGATAACAAAACGATAGTTACCCAGAACGATTACTTTTTGTTCACGATGGGGTCTGTTGAAGGACCTGGACCATTTCAGGGTTGAAGATGTGTGCCCTGTGGTGACTCTGGGCCTGGTGGTTGAATTGTGCGCCGGGTGAACCGCCCTCAGAAACGTCTTGTTCAGGTTTGGGGGCTAGAACCTAAATACACCCGTTATTAACCCTGAAACCCACGGCTGCAGGCTCGATGTTGAAGCCACCTAGATCCAAGGCTTTGGAATGCAAGCCAACCAAGTGCTCCGAAGCATTACCTTTTATATGCAAGCGCTATCAAGCGCTGTAAAACGATAGGAATTCTAGCCAACAATACTGTGTTTTGTGCGCATACACTGTAAAACGATAAGGAGTAAAAAACGATAGCATTTTAGGGAACGGCAGGTTTCCATCGGGGTTGTTATACAGCCCCAAGTCGTTTTCAAGATGTTTCAGGAATGCAACCCCACCCTAAACTACAGTTCTGAGCGCAGTTCCGGCACAATGATTTTGGGCAAGATGCCACCGTTACAAGCCCTAAGATCGTGCTCAGTGCGCATTCTCCGCACTTGCGGGAAAAGAAACTGAACACAAGCCTCAGCTGAGGCATTGTGATGGGCGGTGTCTGCACATCTGCTTGCCCAGAAGGCTTTGCTGCACCTCGGCCAATGATCCAGCAGGAAAGCATGCAAAGTAGCTTACCTAGGTCCGATAATCAAACCGTAGCAGTTGACGATGTCGACTGATTCACAGCGATTCACAGCTGCGCTGGTTGTCCGTTGACTTCGTGGGCCTGCTCCACCCTATAAACTATAAACCCCGAAAACACGAGTAGGAACTGCCGGTATTGGTCCGTGCACACCCTCCCCCCGGTCCGAACCCTAAACCCAAACCCCGAGAAATGGGGATGCTGGAGGCCACCGTGCCCGCGCTCCTCTGCGCCTTCCGTCCGGACCAGTCCCCGCTGCCCTTCCTGGAGCCACGAACGCTGCCAGTCGGGGTTATGTTCTACTGGGTGGGGAGTTGGCTATTTTAGTCCCATTTCGCGGCGGTCCACTTTTGAGTGCTACAGATTTCTAATTGTCGGGGTACTGAAACAAGTGCTCATGATGTAGATGAAGCCGCCGGGAATGCTAATGCTTGCCGTTTTGGGGTTTCAGCGGATCTTGTTTAGTTTAGGCGCATCTTGGAGGTAGCTATACAAGGCTGTTTTAGGGCTCAGGGTTATGGGATGTCATGGGCTTCTGGGGCTTGCAGAAGTCCAAGGGTCCTCGAAAGCAATCGCATGCCCCCCTACTCCCGAACATCCTCGACAGATTCTGACGTCTGAATCTTAAACCCAACCCTTGGACCCTTGAGCCCAGCCATCTTACCCCGTGAATCCCTCAACCTGAAGCCACTGGGCCTCTCACTCGATTAAAGCCCGGAAGCACCTAAGCAAGTTCAACCCCTAGCTCCCTCCCCAGAACCCCAAACTCCGATAAAAGGATTAGGGTTGATAGACAGGGTGTAGAGTTCAGGGTTTTAGAAGTTCAGGATTCAGGATTTAGGGTTTTAGGGTCCTCGGTTTAAGTCCCAAGCCCGAGAACCCCACAGCCACCCCTGAGTCAGGTTCAGTTGCTTCCCGCGGGGCTGCGCGGCCCCGGCGTGTACGGAGACCACGGCACAACCCACTTGCCAAGGCCAGGATGAGAGATTAGGGCTGCTTGGGGTTTGGGGTTTTATGACTGATAAACATCACCTTGGTTCTTTGTAGGATTTATCGGGGTTTGTTCGGGGGGCTTAAGGCGTCAGTGCTGTAGGGCCCAACGGTTGCTTCGACCATGCGTGCTTCTGCGGTTGAGGCATTCTTCTTGGAAGCACGTTCATCTCGATGTTTGCAGTGCCTTCGAGTTGCATGATTTGGAAGAGCCAGGTTAGGGGATCTCACCCACCAGTGGTTCGGCACGCAGCTTTTCAAGTTTTGCATAGACTGAAGCGGGCTCCTGGTCACCAGCAATGCCCGGCATAAGACGACACTCACATCCAACCTTAGGCTCTGAGCTTGGATTGAGGTGACAGAGGAGAAGGTGTTGCACAATTGATTTTGCTTTTCACTGGGCCTGCGTGGCAGTGAGCTGCGCTTTAAAGCGAAGCATTGACCATCCCTGGAGGATTTAAATCTTCCGAGCACCTGGCAGGTAGCCTTAGGCTCTTGAGTGCACTTGTGGACTATTTGGTCTGAGGGTTCTAGGTGTGAAAGCCCATGCCAAAGGTCCACACACCTACCCTTGGACAGGTGGCTGGCACGTGCCTCACAGCAAGCTTTGCTTGCCCAACTGCTTGCCGGGCTATGCGCCGAGCGTGGCTTGCCTTGCTGTCTTTCAATGCCCGGGTATGTATTCTGGCTTAGGGTTGAGGGCCACTTCCTTCGAGCTTCCCGGGCTTTGGGGTGTGTCGCTCTCCGTACTGTTGGGAACATTTGTTTTCATTGTATCCGACTATTTTTTGTGCCAAGCGCCACATCAGCACCTGCCAGCTTGAAGGTTCCGTACCTGAGCTGCTTCGCTGGGCGCCTGGAGCCACCCAGCTACGACTGTCGCCTTGAAGGACCACAGCGAGTGGTTTAGGGTTTATTAGGGTTTAGGGTTTAGGGTTTAGGGTTTGCGGGTCATCGGACCAGCGTGACACATTACGCGCTCTATATGATATGGGCTACGGTCCTTTCCGGTCCTTGTTTTATGGTTGCCGTACTATATAGGGGACCCCAAAAAGACCCTAATCCAGAGAACTACGCATACAGCGGCTTGTCACTCTTTGTACTTGCTGGGAGTCTCACAAGCAGGAACGTTCACGTGCACCTTTTCAGGAGTTGCGTGCTCTGCCCCGTTGGTGCTCGGGGCATCGAACCCCTCCTGCGTGGAAGGCCAGAAGGTCCAGGTCAAACCATCATCGCTCCCAATCCTGAACAGCGCGTCTATGTCTAAGGCTTTGGAGGCCGACAGGCGACAGGACAAGCACTGCTTATGTCCACAGGGCCCAGCAAGCTGCACCAACCCTGAACCCTAAACCCGAAACCCTAAACTCCTAAACCCTAAACCCTAAACCCTGAACCCTGAACCCTGAACCCTGAACCCTGAACCCTGAACTCTGAACCCTGAACCCTGAACCCTGAACCCAAACCCGAAGCCCTGAAGGTGACGTCATCGTGCATGGCGGTGTGTGCACGGCCCGCTGTGGCGAGGCGCGTGTCTGCGAGTCTTTATTGTTGACCGCAACCAACTCCCCGGCCCAAAGAAGAAGCAGCCCTATGCTGAAGTGGGTGCTGCCGCAGGTGGATCCTAAATGGTAAAACTCACCCTTTTAAGATGTTGGAACCTTTGACGTGCTGACAAGCAAGCTCTTTTTGTATCCATATATACATATATATATATATATAAATATATAAATTTATTTATATCACTGTCATTGGTGAGTGTATACTTGTTTGGTTCCTTACTATGAACATTGTGTGGGTGTCTCAACTGAGCTTGTTACTTTTCATCCTTTCTGGCGCTCAGGCTTACACGAGACACGCTTGGCAACTGAAGTGGTGAAACCCTGAACCCTAACTGTCAAAACCCAAATCCGAATCCTAAACCCTGAGTCCCTAGGGTTTAGGGTTTAGGGTTTAGGGTTTAGGGTAAAACTCAGCCCAGCTGCCACTCATCAACCTTTCAAGCGAGAGGCGCTTTACAGGGCCACGGAGCCGACACTGCGCTGTGAGGCGAGTGAAAGTGGCAGCTGCGTTTCGGGGGCTTCGGGTTGAGTTATTTCTTTCTATACATACAAATATTATATATATATATATATATATGTGTGTGTGTGTGTGTGCGTGTTTATGTATTTATGTATATATGTACCAAAGTATACATGAAGATCTGTAAAATGCCTGTATGCATATCAGCATATTGACAGTGCTGGCTTAGGGTTTTCTATGGGCTTGAAAGTGCTGGGGACATGTGCCTCCAGCCAACGAGGGTGCACCATTGCTACGTTGGAGTAGGATTTCCTGGAACTTTTAGTGCCCAAGATGCGCCGCAGACTCTCAGACACTACACCTGAGCAGGGTTTAGGGTTTAGGGTTCTATAGAGTTTACGGTTTAGGGTCTAGGGTTTAGGGCCCGAAATCCTAAGCCCCGACAGCCTGAAGCCGCAAGTCTGGGAGGATGGCATCCTGACACCCAGCACCTTCGACTGTGCGCCGCCATGCTTTCTCAGCGAGGCAGCAAGGGTCGGACCTGGGTTGGGCCATAGATACGCTGCGGAAGTCGACTGGATGAATTCTGATTCTCGCCTCAAAGCCCTGCACCCCCAAATCCAACACTTTCTTCGCAGAGCAGCATCCCAGCAGAAATTGTCCCGAAGCTCTAAAGCCCTTTACAGCGATTACAGCGTCAGCCTATGCTGCTCTTGCTTTGAGTGCAACTCGGTTGTGTTGACGAAGCGGCCGACTCTCGGCAGCCTTGGACCGTGCAAAATAACTACTTGGAGTTTGTTTGATCCGCTTGATCGCTGGAGAGGCTCCTGAGCAGGCCGCCTTGCCGCCGGAGCCCCAGGTTCAGTGTGTCACCAGAGATCCCGTGCCGCCGAGCCGATGTGTAGGGGGCGCACGTGGTTAGTTTAGGATATGTGTTCCGGCGGCTCCCAAACTGAAGCATGAATCTCATGCCCGCCGGCAATGTGATGGTCCTTAGGGCTCCCTCAACCATTCCCAGACCGAACATACCTCCAAGGCTGCCGCTTTGCGAGAGAAGTAAGTTTTTAAAGAAAAGAAGCTTCAACAGACTGTTGCAGGCAAGCGCAGTTGCCAGTGAGACAGCACAGGAGCCAAAGTAATTGCCAATACAATCCGTAGAAACTTGATCCACTCTAATCCGTAGAAACTTTGTCCACTCTACTTAGATAGGGCCCCTTAAGCTTAGGGACTTATGCCTTCACAGGGGGCCCAGGCCTTCGAACCTGAGAAAACGCAGAAAATGAGGCCATGCGCCGAAGGGCTGTCGATCCTGCATGGGGCGACATGCACCTTCCGCTGCAACTTTGGCGACCTGGCGGGCGATTCATGCAATTTCATGGTACATGTGTTCATCTTTGATGAGGGTTGTGGGCAGCCTCTCTCTCTCTCTATTTAGACGTATAGATATAATATATATATACATAGAGACGGAGACATGCGTGCATTGACATCAATGGTGATGGTGGTGCTTTGAATTGAAAAGTTTTTAGGGTCTACCCTGTTTGGCTGACGGCTCTGTCAAGAACCTTCGCGATGCTCTCATACTCGGCATCGCTACCGGGTCAATTCTGATGCCAGGTCCCAGTCTGACGGAAAGTGCAAAGGCAAACGCAGGAAACCGACATCCCTTGAACGCTCTGTTGGCCAGATACAGTTTTTCTCTGAACCTCGTGGTTTTCAACGGCAAAACGGTGTACTTGTTAAAGCAAAGCGAACTTCTTTTGGCTTCGGCTTCGATGGATGTCGGCCCATAAAGGCTACAGCAAAGGCTTCCAAAAGGGTTCAGTGAAGGATGTCAGCATGTGTATTCCGAAATCCTACAGCCCACACAAACCCACACACGGCGGAACTCCTAAAGCACCACACCCGAAAAGTTCCAAGCATTCAGGCTTGAGGAGGTCATGTACACATATATATATATAGATAGATATATACATACATATAAATATACAATATATACATATTTGAATATATAAGTTAAGACAAGATTACACCACCGAAGACCCCAAACAGTCAAAGGCACGTCAAAGAAACAGTGGAGACGACGGGAGACAAAGGGAGACGAAGGGAGACAAAGGGAAGCAAACGGAGACAAAGGGAGACAAAGGGAGACAAAGGGAGACAAAGGGAGACAAGGAGCCCAGGAACCCGGCAACAGTCCTCAGAATGTCGGCAATCCTTAAATGAATTTAGAACCCCAACAGTAGACTGCTTGGGGAAAAATAGATAAATACATAAGTGTATACATACATATATACACATATATATATATACATTATGGGAGCTGTTCTAAACTCGCCTCTCCTGTGATTGCAGCCGTGCCTAGCTTCACACTCGTAGTCTAGGGTCCGCTCGGGTTTCCAGGCTTCGAGCCTCAGCCGCCCTCGGCACGGTGCGAAAGGTGGCCTGTCAGCATACCTGTGCCGTTTGGGGGATTAGGGTTTAGGGTTTAGGGTTTAGGGTTAGGGGGTTTGGGGGGTCCCTGCACTCTGAGACCATTCTGGGCCTCCCAAGGGCCCTGGCTCTCCATCATTCGGGGTCTCGGATAGTTGCGCCACGAACGGGTTTTGAGGTGTGAGGGCTCGGGGAATCAGAAGCCCATGGATCTGGGACCTGGCATGAATGTCCACAGCATGTCTGGGTTTTGGGCTAGGGTTGATCTAGATAGTAGAATATAAGATCTAAAGTCTAATGTATCTGTATATATGTATATATGTACAGCATATATATATATATATATATAATATACTATATAGTATATTATACTATAATATGGTATAATAGTATAAACTAGTATAATATGGTATAATATAGTATAATATCGTAAATATAGAATAATACAGTACAATATAGAATATTATTTTATAATATAGTATAATATAGTATAATCTAGTTTAATATAGTAGAATATAGTATAATATAGTATGAGATCCTTCATCCTTCGGGTCGCCCCGGCTTTCAATTCTGGGCCCAGGGGTCGTTTTACAACATCGGCTGCAAGCGGGAACGCCTTCGCTTGCGTGCAGGTGGCCCAGGACAGTTGTTTTTTTTGCTTCCTGATGCGGCAGCTGTCCATCCGCAGATTTATACTCGGTATTTTCGTGCAGATCGCCCGAGACCCTAGGCCCTAAGCCCCAAAGTCTAAACTCTAAACTACAAGTGCAGAAGGCCTTTGGGCGCAAAAGTCTTCAGACTTACCTGCTCAGAAACAAAGGTTTGAGGGATTCGATTCGGGGTCAGGGTATGGAAAGATTGAGGTTGTGCCGAGAATGAGGCTGCATGTACATGTTGTCTTGGGATGAGATCAGTCAGTCGTAACTGCGGTAGCAGCAAGGTTGGTCCGTCTCTACTCTGGCCACCCGCGACATTTTTATGCTGCGCATGTAAAACTTCTCAGTCTGAAAGCAGCTGCCACCGAACCGGGGTGGCCTGCTTAAGCCCACCCGAGAGTAGTGCCAGCAGCGGTCAGCTACAGGCACATGGTGCATGTTATGCCCGCCTTCATAATATGTATACACAGAGTGTGTAGACATGTCTACATGTTGTTCATGGCTCGCGCTCCTTTCTGTCTCTCACACACTCTGTCTATGTCACTCTGGGGCACCTTTCGCATGCCATCACATGCCCATGCTTGGCTTGCTTGCAGGTATGTTTGGGGCTAGATGCACGTTACCAGTCCATGAAGCTCTTTAGAAAAAAGCCTCCGAGCCCTCTGAACACCGAAACAAGAACACACAGACAAACACGCATCCCACGCCCGGTCTCTCATGGGCCCCGTTGTTCGCTGAGAGGACTGCGTGGCTCCCAGTACGGCCTTCCACCTCGGCACCGTGGGCCCGACTTCAGTGGCTGCGTGGTGGTTTGTCGGGGGGCTTGCGTCTAGGTGAGGGGGTACCCTTTTCAGAGAAGTGTTTACTTTCCGTTTTCATAATGTGGCTACTGGGAGTTTATCTTGGATGGAGAGTGCAGACAACAACACTAGACCCTGCAAAACTTCGCAGGCATTGGCTACATTGCCGCTCCCGGCGAGCTGTGTGATCAGATGGTCGGAGCGGTGGCCCACAGCAAGGCCAGTGTCTACACTTGCATTCAGGAAGTGGCCCCAAACCCTACCCTATGGATCAGTCGGGTCTGGTCCCTAGTTGCAGCAGTTGTATACGCCCTCTTATCAACCTGGCCCGGCCCCTCCAATGCCTCATCCCAAAGGCCCTAGACCTAGCCCAAAGCTCATAAGCCTCTTTGTGGTGGATTGGTGGATGAGTTTAGTCCTTACGTCACAGGACGGAGACGAGAGACGGGCAATGTGGAGTAAAGAAGTGCCCAGAAGAGGGTCTTCGGCTTAAAGCCCTCTAGTCTCTAACCTTCGTTCGAATTTTAGATCAAGAGTTCGAACTTGGGGTTCAAATGTTCGAACAGAGTTCGAACAGCGAATTCCCGAACCCAGCTTTCGAACATAGAGAGTTTCCGAACGCAGGGTCCAAACTACTTCAAACACAGGGAGTTCCCGAACCCAAGGTTTTTACACTCCAAACACCCCAAGCTCCGAGCCGAAACTTCGCCGGGGTTGTTCTTGCAGAAGTTTAGGGTTTAGGGTTTAGGGTTATGAGGCCCGAACCGGACCCCCAGTGTTGCCAGGACTGCCGTGGCGTCTGCCCTCGAGCGGGTTACACGCCGAGCCCTACGGCCCTGCCAGCTCCTCAGTGTTTTGGCACTTCTATCCGTTTTGTATCGAACCGCCACTACAGTGGCGATAGTATATGCGCGCATGTGTGAAGATGTGGAGATGTACGCTGTTGAGTCTGACGAGAGATCCACGATCAACGCTTGCGCTCAACTGCCGCATTTATTGCACTTGCTATGTTTGCCGGTATGTGAGAATGCCACGCAATCGCAAAACAAGTCATCTGGTCTCTCGGTTTGTCATGGCCGAAACGCCATAAGCCTAAACTAACAGACAATGACAGCCACCTGTAGGACAACAGTCATATCATGAAGATACTATACTCAGAAGGCTTCAGCCTGATTGAGCGCCATAAAACCTGTCAGAGTACTTCGGCGATACTCCACTATGTGTACTATACTATGCCACTATGCAATATTGTACATTGTAGTTTGCTGTACTATACGAGATTATACCATATCATACTACATGATACGATATTCTACATAAATTCTACTCTGTTTTGCTGTCTATCTATGATCAAAAACACAAACAATTTTCCGGCCCCAGATCAGCTGCGGTCCCAGGTCTTGCTCCGACGGGGTACTTTCGCCTGAAAGCTTCACCTGCGGCCGCTCTTGTGATTGGCCTGCAGCAAATGGGCGTTTACGAAAACAGGGGGCCCCTAAAATGCCCCCGTAAATGGTAGGATTCCTTTATGATAAGGACCCCACAAAGGTACCCCTAATTTCAGAAACTCCCAAATAGTCTAGGAGCCCCCTCGCATCCTTGCCTCCCACACCTGTCTCCACACGCCGATGTTGACTCATTCAGTACTACCCACTCAGACCTCGCCATCCCAGCCTCACCTTTTTCCGGGACAACTGACTAGGATGGCCCGACTGAGGGTCTGCAAGCCATACGTTAAGATGCAGAGCCCAAGCGTGACTCAAGGCACCGCCGCTCCCCTGGCCGACGTGCAGTTTTCGAATCCCTCAGGCTTTTTGGCTTGCATTTCCATTGTGCAAGGAAGCGCAATCTTGCTCAATACCCCCGTGATCGATAGCTTAGGCTTAGATCAACTTAGATCATTTAGATCCCCAGACTTGCGACTGGACGGGCACCGCAGACTCCCAATGGTTGTTCAATGACTTTTCATCTGCTCATGACTGGTGGGACATGCTCTTGACATTTTTCCCGAGACGGCGAGTGCGCTTCTTCACACACCGGCTGCTCCCATGCCCCCACTTCCCCCTCCCCGCTGCCCCCCGCTCCAGCGCTCCAGGAGCTTGCGAGGAGGGTGAGGAGATCGGACACAGCCTTCGTTGCACTACGCCCATTGGCAGCTCATACAATCGACATTCAAGCATGGCGGCGACATGTCCGGCGTACAGCTACGAACAAGGGACCTTGGCGTCGCTCACTGTTGTCCCTTGAAGAAATCCTCTGCAGCAGGGGATGTGAAGATGGGTTCAGGGTTTAGGGTTTAGGGCGGAAGTTTCCGTCCGACTGGCACAGGCTCGAGATTCTAGATGTGGGGTCGATGGTGGTTGCAGCTAAGGGCTAGTTGGAGCTCAGGGCTTCAGAATTTGGGCCTTCTTGCGGGTTGTCGAAGGCCCTCGTGGCTTAGGACTCCGGAGATCAGTAAAAACCTCTGGGATCCCAGGAAGCCAGAAGCCCTTCGGAGCCACGTTCAAATAGCCCTAAACCCTAAACCGTAAACCCTAAACCCTAAACCCTAAACCCTAAACCCCAAACCCTAAACCCCAAACCTTCTAAGATCGAGGTCTTGCTCTGCTGGCTACGTGCCGTCGGTGGGCAGCCTGGAGTGCTATGACTCTTGGACTGGACACCGGTACTCTGAGCCCAAAAAACTGCAAGAACCCGACAAGGGCGGGGGGGGGGGGGGTTTCCGGTGTTGCAGATCAGACTGAGCGGCAAGAAATGAACCATCCTTTGGTCATGTTCACGAAGCTCTCATGACTACATCCTTAACGAACCTTAATCCCCTCCCTGCAAGCTTAGCTCCCTGAATGAGCTCACTTGGGCACTTCTCGAGGATGGGGCGCTCTCGCCGCCAAGCTTTGAGTGCAGGCTCGCTCTCTCTCTCTCTCTCCCCCTCTGTGTGTGTGTGAGAGAGAGAGTGCGCGTGTGTGTGTGTGTGTCTGCGGGTGCAAGTGTGTATGTTTATGTATGCGTGTGTATATGTGTATGTATGGGTGGTATGTATATTCATGTTCAGGTGTATGTGCACGTGCATGTGTACTTTGTATGACGTATGTGGTACAATCTAATGTGGTTAAATGTAGCGGACTGGAATCCAATTTAATGCAGCATCGCGGAAAGGAAAGGCTTGGAACGGGTACTGTGATGCATTGCAATGCAATGAATCAGTGCATGTGTGCATGCATCTTGAACTGAAAGCCCGATCCTTCGTATTGAAAACCACATTCGACCTCACCACCTTCTAGCACTGGGGATCTTATTATGATACGGATCCCTGCATATATATTATGTTATATTATATTATATTATATTTTCTTATATTATATTTTCTTAAATTATATTATATTACATTAGATTATATATATATATATATATGTATATATATATATATTTTTGCCTAACTTTCGTGGGCCCCCCCACTCAACCCCTCCCCCCACCCCCCGCCCCTCCCCAAGAACCCGCAGGCGTTTCCTTCTCGGCTGTCCTTCGCCCAGCGCTGGAGACGGTGCCCTGACGCCCAGCTGTGCGGAGGCCTCTTGGGCACTGGGCACTTGAAGGCTTTACTACTTGGGGGTTCATGGTACTTTTCCCCCAATTATATCTGTACTTATGACCCAATTGCCAACTAGTACCATGAACCTCCATTTGAACCTGCTCTCAGCCCCAGAAAGCAGCATGCCACAGGCAGGCTAGATCAGGCCTGCAACTGCAAGAAGCAACTTTTGGCCACTAAGCAGAACAACGTGAGATGACGATGCAGGCGCGTCTAGAACCCTTAGTGCCCTATGAGCTCCTAAGTCCCAAACCAAAACTTCTAAAGCCGTAGAAGCTTGACACCGCCCACAGCTGCAGCCGAACGCAGGGCAGCTTCATCGCTGAGGGTTCGACTTGTACCGTGCGCTGTGAGGACTGCTCCACTAAGGGGAGGTCTCGGGAGTCAGGCTGTACGGGAGTTTTGGTGTCGCTTTTGTTGGGGTTCCTAGGGGGGTTTCGGGTTGCAAGTGTTGGGCTTTTGGTGTCTCTAGGGAGCTGCAAAGCTAGGCTCCCAAAACAAGTTGTAAGGCATGTATGTCTGTTGGTGGTGGGATGACGACGATCAAAGGCTTCCGTCGGTTTGGCTGGCTTCAGCGAAACGCCAGGAGGCTTGTTTTTTTCCATGAGATTTGTTTTGCAGGGGGATGCACAACACATGCTACGAGCACAATTTACAACCACCCACCCACGGGCCTCGCACTTGCGAAGTCTGCCCCATGTCCTGGAGCCAACCGGACCCCCTCATCCCAGGAGGCATTCGTGCCAGAGCCCGCGCAGTTGCGCTGTGAGGGCCAGGCGCAGCGTGTTTGCCGACCCGCGCTGCTCTCTGCCATGGCGTTGCTCCGTCAGGCATTGACGCCGGGGAGCTTCGATTGCCTGCAGGGCTGCCAGCTTGCGGGGCTGACACCACGAGGCAGGGCTGAAAAATCGGAGATGCTGAGTTCAAGTTCAGCCTACACTTGATATGCCTGAATTCTCAACCCTTTGCAGCTTCAAAAGGCCCTTGAAAATCTGCCTGGACTTTTTTAGGTGGCAGCTGCCTCGAGGGAACCTCGGTGAGACATGGCCAGGGCTGCACCGCGTACTGCGCAGCGCCTCGGCCCCCTGAGAGCTGCGACGCCTTCGAAAGGTTGGGGCTGAAGGGTTCTCGGGGAGCTTTGGCATCCCTGGTAAAGCAAGATCTTAACCTTAGGCTGTAGACTATAGACTTTGACACTATATAGACTATAGGGCTCCTAGAGCTAGAAGATCTGCATGCGGATCTGCTCAAGGTTGGCTATGCGCCATCGGTGCCCTTCCTCTCATGCAGCCGAGGCAGGGGCTCTCGTCGTAGGTTGTGGCTTTGGGTCGACTGTAAAGCCTAGCAACGCAGCAGGTGGTGCTGCGAATTTCACCCTAAACCCGAAACCCTGAACCCTGAACCCTAAACCCTAAACCCTGAACACCTGAACCCTAAACCCTAAACCCTAAGCCCTAAGCCCTAAGCCATGAAGCCCAAGCTTCGGAAGGCATGCTAACGCCCACCAGCTTCGACTGCCTTCGCATTTGCACCGCCGTGATCGGCGCGGGCCCCAGCCTGGGCCATCATGGGCTTTGGGCCGCAGGGGTTCATGGGGTCCTGGGTTTAGGGTTTAGGGTTTAGGGTTTAGGGTTTAGGGTTTAGGGTTTAGGGTTTAGGGGTTTAAGTGGCACCTATGATTCTTGGTTTGTAGAACATAAGGGCTTGATGCTTGAGGGGCGCCAACGAATTCCAGCTCAAGCTCCACGCTGTTAGATCAGTGTGTCCTTCGGGGTCTTTAATGTGAGGAGAGGCAAGGTTATCCTGGCTTTCGGTTTCGGGACTTGAGTCTTAGAGTCTTGGAGTCTTAGGGTTCTTGGGGCTCGGATTTAGGAGGTTTAGGGTTTTGGGTTTAGGGTTTCGGCTGATCATGCAGGCACTGTGGCTCTGTACCCCTCGCTGTCTCCAGACTGGCCAGCGCCTGGGCCAAGCAAGCGGCAGACATCAGCTCCCTACCAGTAGAAGTGTGAGATGTTCCCCCTTATACTAACAGCTCCTTAATAGGGATTCTAATAGGGGGCATGAGAATCCCTATTAAGGACTGTTGGTATAAGGGGGAACATCCCAAAGTATAAGGTTTAAAGGAGCCTCAAAAATCAGAATAGGGGTTTTGGAGTTTTTATAGTATAGTTATTGTATAGTTATGTTGGGACCATAAGAGAATGTTATATTGCTAATTCTTCCGACCCCCATACAGTAGAAGGTTTGTCCTTGCTGGTTCTCAGTTACAGTTAGGCAGTTCGGAACCTGGAAAGCATTAAGGGATCATTCATACATAGGAAGACGGATTCCCTACTACATGTCTTTACTAAAAACTACTAAGTTCGGTGATAGGCAGGAGCCTAAAGGCCAACTATCATCCCCTTACACTCCATGGGTCCCTGGGTTGTTTGCAAATCCGAGTTTCCATGGCCTCCCTCCATGCAGGAGATCATCACACCTTTGCAGCAACAGTAGACTCTGCCTGGGAGCCGCGTGTCGAGCACTGTCCATTGCACTTTGTGTTAACATTGAGGACAGAATCAAGCACCCAAGACAACCACAACTGTCAGCCAAGACGCCTGCCACCGGCGATGCGGCATGCGCAGATGGTGCTGTGGTCGAGTCTGGCGGCCAGTGCCAAGCCATATGTAGCTTCTCGGACCAGCCTATGATGAAAGATGGAACTGAGGGCTGGCCTCTTCTGACCCATATGGAACTCAGGGATGGCGCCTGACATCCCAAAACGAACTCTCAGACATCCTTTCAAGGCTTGGGCTACAAGCCGGACACCGAGCTCCTGACATGTCAAGATGGCGCTCTCACTCCGAGCAGCTTTACGTGCACCTTCTCCGCAGCACCGACAAAGTCCCACACTTGATATACTTTGTTTTTGCCTAGAATACCTAGAACACCATGCACTAGAATGGCTTTGCATTGTCGCATGCAGCGTAGCAGGTGAATATGCCGATGATGGCCGTTCGTAGTTATGTATCACCCATTTCTCGACCCGTTTGAATCCCCTCTGCATCCCTAGTCTAAGAATGAGAAGCCAGGACAGCCGCTGGTCTCAAAAAGGCTATGCCAGCGAAATCCTGTTTAAGACACTGCGAACATAGCATGAGAAACGGGAACGATCAGATATTTCCAATCTTGTTGGCCTCGAGAAGATTCTTAGATTTTTCTCCCATATATTAAATGATTTACGATATCGCAATTAGAACTCGACAAAACGAGTATATTATATGAAAGAGTCCATTCAATATAATCCCTCAAAAACTATCCGGCAAGAGATGCCATTGAATTTTTTAAGATATGGATGAATCCTAAAGATCCGTTTTTGAGTAGTGTAGAAAATCCCCACATCATTTTTTGTCCCTACCTCCACTTGACGTGAAATAAAATAAAATGCGCGGTAGCGAGTCTATGTACTACATAATGCATCGGCAAGCGAGAAGAGCACCCAGTGTGCTTATCTGCTCATATTGTTAACGAATTTCCAAACCAACAAACCAACAACGTCAAAACGCAAGATACTATTCACCTCCCCCTGGGAATAGTCAACTAGATTTGCTTTAGTGATTTGTTTTTGTGTTTTGGGGTTGTTTGGCACTTTCACGGACCTCTGAGCTGACTAGCCTAGCCATAATGCGCAGTCGGCTTCCGGAAATCAAGGCCGACAAACACGCCGGAGGAGTTTCCACCTGCGCAAACAGTCCTTAATAGGGATTCCAATAGGGGTACCAGAATCCCTATTAAGGGCTGCTTGTATAAGGGGGGAACATCCCAGAGGTACATCGAAGCCCCGCAACTCTCCCCCAAGCCCAGCAGACGCGCTGCCCTTAAGGCGAGGTGGTTCGGCCCTGCTTCCTGGCCTCGGCGCCCAATGGAGGGTCGCCGCCCTGTGCTGAAGGCTTTGCGGGTTTCCATGGGTCCCTAAAACCCAAACCCCAAGGAGTCAGAGAGTTCAGATCCTTCTACTTGTGAAGACAAGTGTGGATACCGCATTCTTTGCACCTGCACCCCCCCCCCCCCCCTGTAGATTATTTTTAGGGGTTGGGGTTTAGGGTTTATGTCAGATTTGCAGTGTAGACCCGAATCAACCCTACTTGCCAGGCTTCACGATCCAGCACAACGGCACCTGCACAACCAGCTGCTTACCAGGCTACCTCCCCAGCTTCCAGGACACGTGTGCAAAAGGTCCGATGGTTTTCAGGGGATGTTAGGACGTCGGTTCGGGTCATGCTCCCTTATAATCGTCACATTTGGGCAAATCGGTCCTGTGAACGTTCGGAGGTGTAACTGAGGTGTCTAGGCGGTTTTACGGTTCGGGGTTTAGGGTTTAGGGTGGGCTTGTTTTGACCGCACCTAGTCCACAGGGCTGCGCCTCTCGGAAAGGAGCTGCGCTGCTGGGACGGCGTGCTGAAACCTGGAGTCGTTCATGAAACCTGAAGTCTTCCCTTTAAAGCCTCCAAGGGTTGTGGTCCGACAAAGCCCCAGATCCTGAACTTGCAGAAGCACCAAAAATCATTCTAAACCCTACGAACCCTATCGATGTGGAGTCCCGCGTCAGGAAATGTTGGAGAACTCAATTTTTTGAAGTTGAGGTGTTGTGCGTCTGCCTCTTGTTTAGGGTCCATGGTGTAGCACTTGTGCTTCAGGTTAGGTTGATGGAGTCTTTGCATGGTGGAGGGTTGCGGGTTTTAGGGTAGAGGCTGGTGTATCAAACCCGGCCGAAGGTTGAAAACCCAGGGCCGACTGCTTCCCTCTGCTGACACTCAGGACACCGCTTACCTTCACCTGCCTGCAGATGTGCACTGCACCAGCACCTGCCTCGGCAAAACTGTCCAAAACCTCCCGGTTACCCGAATCCTGACTTTCAAGATTTCGGGGCAACCCTGCCCCAAAGCCCCCAAGCCTCACGTCAACATCCCTAGATGTACACCCTCTTAAGACTCCCCTTAACCTGCAGATACTGTAGCTCATGTGAGAAGTTGAGGCCTCCCGTGCCAACCTTCTTAGAGTTTCAGCCTAGAGTTGACTCGGCTTCAGGACCCCGCCGCAGCATACCTTAAGTTAAGTAGGACAATATGGACACGTAGACTCAGGATTGCAAGCGGCTCACAAAGTTCCTCGGTCTTCACCCCAATTGCAGAGGGGCCCCCCGTACCCAGCGAGCCCCCCGAACACCGGTACGGAGTGAAGTCTGAGGGGTTGGGCCGCTTGGTCCCTGGATAGTTGAAGGATGTTCGGTTCCAACATGATACAGGAACCTTAGCATGTTAATCGCCAATGTCGTCCCCTTCTTCGTCCCAACGAGTATGAACAACACCCCAAAAAAGACCAAGCATTCCATAGCTGCCTTAAACTCATGCTCCGAGCAAAAGGCCGTGGCCAATTCACCGCAGCCTTGTCTCGAGGCAAGCAGCCCAGAAAGTTGTTGTTCCATGTAAATGTTTTAGGGAGAGAGAGAGAGAGAGGACACTGGGACTGGCGCGCCCTAGGGGCAGCTCTCCCTTCGGGGGGGGCTAAGCGTGCAGAGAGAGAGAGAGAGAGACCCCTTTTTCATTAGACCGGACTGGAACAGCGGGCCGTCGTGGCCGGGGTCCTTCCTCTGAGAGGCCTCTTCGCTGTGTAGAAGAAGAAGAAGAAGAAGAAGAAGAAGAAGAAGAAGAAGAAGAAGAAGAAGAAGAAGAAGAAGAAGAGAGTGTGTGTTACGTTGTGTCGGGTCGTGTCATGTTGTGTTGTTTGTTCGCTGGCGTGTTTTTGTAATATGCTGTGTTGTTTTGTTGTGCGCGGCCATGCGCCCATTCGTCCGTGTGCCGGTGCGTACGTGTTTCGTTGCTCTATTGTTGAATGTCTTCAGGAGAGATGCAGCCCCCAACTCACAGGCCTCGATTGGAGGATTGGTCTTAGAGCTAAACTCTGCTGGTCTTGGTCTTCGTCACGACCGCAACGTCGGACTGCCGGCATGTTCTGTAGCAGTTGCAGCGCACTGCACTTCGAGGACTCTTATCTCTACCCGCAAATGTCGAGTTGCAATCATGCTCAGGGAAACCTGGTGATGCCGGGCGCGACCTGCACGACACACTGTGCCGCCGCTGGGACGGGCATCTGGAGTGGGCGGTTGTTAGACTGTTAAACACTGCAAAACACGATCACGACACTAGCCTTTTACGTGGAAATTCTGATTACCTGCTATGGTAAGTCTTGCTACGCAAAGGGCAGAGTCGAAGACGAACGCTATATTCGAAAGCCAGTTAGGGTTCTGCAGCCTTTCCTTTGACTAGCCTTTCATCATGAATCCCACGAAATGAGGGTCAGCAGAGAGAGCGCTGCAACTTCACAAAGTCCCAATAATAGCAGACAAGTGCTTCTACAGCTGGTTGTGTCCAAAGAGACTCATGGAGGAGGGCTACGGAGATTGGTCTAGATGTTTGCCGACTCGGAGTTTCGTGTGCGAATGCGATCCCGGATGAGTACTCCATCACACATCCTAGCTTATCGTGCCAACGGATTCCTGAAACGACTTTGCTCCCAAGAAGTTCTTTTCGTGAGATCAGCAAAACAGCATGGGTTGTGTTGAGCCCCAAAGCTTGGGATGTTCGCCCTTATACTAACAGTCTAGGGATTATAATAGGGGGTACGGGTCTATGAAGGACTGTTCGTATAAGGGGGAACATCCCAACCCAGAGCCCGAAGCCCCCTCACAGGCGGGTTTCGCGCCATCCGTGACCACCTTGACGTGTTCGGAGTCCGGCTCGGGATTGCCCCTCGCTGAGTCCGCACGGCACCGTTCTGCTCCACAAGCGGGTGATGCGCCACCATAGCCTCCCCAACAGGAGATGAGGAAGCAACAGCCCCAAACCCTAAAACCCAAACCCTAAAGCCTAAACCAATGGGGGAGGGCTGCTGCCTCGCAAGACAGCAGAGAACATCCAACCACGGCCATGCCCTGAGGTTTGCGCCTCTTGGCTTCAGCTGCGGGCGCACGTGTGGCACGCCTCGGATTCAAGGACAAGGGTTGGGATGTTTCCCCCCTTAATACGAACAGTCCTTAAGCCCTATAATAGGGGTACCCGAATTCCTCTTAAGGACTGTTCGTATACATCCCAAGACAAGGGGGTTGCTTCACGCAGACCATGCTCTGGACTCGATTGAATCCGAAGCCGAATCCGAAGCCCCAAAGTTCCTACAAACCCTAAACAGAGAGACTTTTCGTTTTCGCAAGGATGAGGCCATGAAAGGTCCCAAGCCGCAAGCCTGTAGCTTGAGCCTCTGCGACCCTGAACTCGGGGTCATCACATCCGGAACCTGCTGCCCCTGCATCCCTGTGCAGAGTCCAGGGCGGAGGACCGAATTCGAAGCTTGCCCTGTTTTGTGGGGCCTGCGGCGAGAATCTCCAAACTCCCCCGAAGTTATGACAAATGTTCCTTCAAGGCCACGTGTTCTGTAAATTTTGCGCGCAGGAGCTTTGTCGCCGCCTTGTGAGCAGCTGCCGCTGAGGCAGGCTGCGAGGGCTTTGGGCCTCACAGCAACCAACTCGTACTGTAGTGTACCTGTAGGCTTCCGCTTGTTGGATTGACCTAAACTTCGGGCCCCTTTGGGGTCTACGATGGCATGTGTTCCATCCATCACTACCGATTATATATAATCAGTGTATGTACAACAAGTTTTACTTATGTATATATTTATATATGTATATGTATATACATACTAGTTCAGGGTACCTTGAAG